AGGGGGTCACAGTATATATATATATATATATATATATATATATATATATATATATATATATATATATATATATATATTATATATATATAATTATATATATATATATATATATATATATATATATATATATATATATATATATTATATAATTTTTTATTTTCATTATTTTTTTCACATCTTATCATCCCCCCCCGTTTCAGTTGCACTGTGAGCGAGGAAGTGCCTCGTTCACTTCACTTCAGTGCCCCTCTTGGTCTTCTTCCTCGGGCTCGACTGCCTCAGGCCCCCAGGAGGCTTCCACTTCAAGGATGACGTGGATATGACACAGGGCCTCCACATCTTTAGTGCACGAGACCATCAAGTCTCTGACGTCTGTTAGAATGTATTCAGTGTCCGGTTAGGGTTCCTCCTGCTGGGCCTCCGGTTATGGTTCCTCCTGCTGGGCCTCCGGCTCGGGTTCCTCCTCCTGGGCCTCCGGCTCGGGTTCCTCCTCCTGGGTCTCCAGCTCGGGTTCCTCCTCCTGGGTCTCCAGTTCGGATTCCTCCTCCTGGGTCTCCAGTTCGGATTCCTCCTCCTGGTCTCCAGTTCGGATTCCTCCTCCTGGGTCTCCAGCTCGGATTCCTCCTCCTGGGTCTCCAGCTCGGATTCCTCCTCCTGGTCTCCAGTTCGGATTCCTCCTCCTGAGTCTCCAGTTCGGGTTCCTCCTCCTGAGTCTCCAGTTCGGGTTCCTCCTCCTGAGTCTCCAGTTCGGGTTCCTCCTCCTGAGTCTCCAGTTCGGGTTCCTCCTCCTGAGTCTCCAGTTCGGGTTCCTCCTCCTGGTCTCCAGTTCGGGTTCCTCCTCCTGGGTCTCCAGTTCGGATTCCTCCTCCTGGGTCTCCAGTTCGGATTCCTCCTCCTGGGTCTCCAGCTCGGATTCCTCCTCCTGGGTCTCCAGTTCGGATTCCTCCTCCTGGGTCTCCAGTTCGGGTTCCTCCTCCTGGGTCTCCAGCTCGGGTTCCTCCTCCTGGGTCTCCAGCTCGGATTCCTCCTCCTGGGTCTCCAGTTCGGGTTCCTCCTCCTGGGTCTCCAGTTCGGGTTCCTCCTCCTGGGTCTCCAGCTCGGATTCCTCCTCCTGGGTCTCCAGTTCGGGTTCCTCCTCCTGGGTCTCCAGTTCGGGTTCCTCCTCCTGGGTCTCCAGTTCGGGTTCCTCCTCCTGGGTCTCCAGTCGGATTCCTCCTCCTGGGTCTCCAGTTCGGGTTCCTCCTCCTGGTCTCCAGCTCGGATTCCTCCTCCTGGGTCTCCAGCGGATTCCTCCTCCTGGGTCTCCAGTTCGGGTTCCTCCTCCTGGGTCTCCAGTTCGGGTTCCTCCTCCTGGGTCTCCAGTTCGGGTTCCTCCTCCTGGGTCTCCAGTTCGGGTTCCTCCTCCTGGGTCTCCAGTTTGGGTTCCTCCTCCTGGGTCTCCAGTTCGGGTTCCTCCTCCTGGGTCTCCAGTTCGGGTTCCTCCTCCTGGGTCTCCAGTTCGGGTTCCTCCTCCTGGGTCTCCAGCTCGGGTTCCTCCTCCTGGGTCTCCAGTTCGGGTTCCTCCTCCTGGGTCTCCAGTTCGGGTTCCTCCTCCTGGGTCTCCAGTCGGGTTCCTCCTCCTGGGTCTCCAGTTCGGGTTCCTCCTCCTGGTCTCCAGTTCGGGTTCCTCCTCCTGGGTCTCCAGTTCGGGTTCCTCCTCCTGGGTCTCCAGTTCGGGTTCCTCCTCCTGGGTCTCCAGTTCGGATTCCTCCTCCTGGGTCTCCAGTTCGGGTTCCTCCTCCTGGGTCTCCAGTTCGGGTTCCTCCTCCTGGGTCTCCAGCTCGGGCTCGACTGCCTCAGGCCCCCCGGAGGCTTCCACTTCAAGGAGGACGTGGATATGACACAGGAGGGTCTCCACATCTTTAGTGCACGAGACCATCAAGTCTCTGACGTCTGTTAGAATGTATTCAGTGTCCGGTTAGGGTTCCTCCTGCTGGGCCTCCGGCTCGGGTTCCTCCTGCTGGGCCTCCGGCTCGGGTTCCTCCTGCTGGGCCTCCGGCTCGGGTTCCTCCTCCTGGGTCTCCAGTTCGGGTTCCTCCTCCTGTGTCTCCAGTTCGGGTTCCTCCTCCTGTGTCTCCAGTTCGGATTCCTCTTCCTGGGTCTCCAGTTCGGATTCCTCTTCCTGGGTCTCCAGTTCGGGTTCCTCTCCTGGGTCTCCAGTTCGGGTTCCTCCTCCTGGGTCTCCAGTTCGGGTTCTCCTCCTGGGTCTCCAGTTCGGGTTCCTCCTCCTGGGTCTCCAGTTCGGGTTCCTCCTCCTGGGTCTCCAGTTCGGGTTCCTCTTCCTGGGTCTCCAGTTCGGGTTCCTCTTCCTGGGTCTCCAGTTCGGGTTCCTCCTCCTGGGTCTCCAGTTCGGGTTCCTCCTCCTGGGTCTCCAGTTCGGGTTCCTCCTCCTGGGTCTCCAGTTCGGGTTCCTCCTCCTGGGTCTCCAGTTCGGGTTCCTCCTCCTGGGTCTCCAGTTCGG